TTGGCAATTGCCACGGGACATTCTGCAAAGCAAATATATTCGAAGAGTAGGACTACATGATCACTGCGGCCCATTGGGACATCAGCGATCACCCACTCGACCATCGGTTTTTCCTTGGTGAATATCCGATACAGTATTGACGGTTTATGTTTTTCGCGGGATCGGGTGGGATTGTAGATCTGGCCATCCAGCGGGAAACTGGAGACATACTCTTGTAGACCGGCCATAAACTGTTCTCTGGGAGCTGCTTGAGCTTGCACGTTGAAATCACCAGTACTGAGAATGTGAATATAAGTTGTGTTTATCCCCCGCCTTAGTACGAATGCCAGATAGAAGTCCATCTCGGACGTGGAGGAAGGAGGGGGGTAAATGACCGCCACCAAGCTGGTGTCGTCGCCTTTTAAACTTAGACGGCCCCAAAACGAATTCTTTACCTTGCTGACGGGATCTTCTATGGGCCCACATTGCAGGTCACTTCGAAAGTACACAGCCGCCCCTCCATCTTTATGGGGTCGGTCGTGCCGAACAACGGAAGTGTGGCAGGGCGATCTCCATGTCACTTATGTCAGGGCGTAATCATGTCTCCGTTATAGCCATGAGGTCGTAGGCTTTTGATCCTTGACACGGCCGAATTTCGGAAAATTTACTCGGTAAGCTTTAAGCCTTGGTGCAGCAACAAGTAAGCGTCTCGGATGTCAAAAGCTGTGGACTAGGAGCACATGAAGGATGTGGATTTGTGCCGACCAATGTGACGCCGGTACCTAATCAATTTTGGGTGAATTGCCAAATCTCGATATGAATGCTATCTGCTTTCGATCTCATTTGTATCTGTTGTATATAGTCCATCGGCAGTTTTCTTGATAGCTACGGATCTTAGCGCACGGTTTCTGAATCGCTGTTGTGGTTATATTGAGTTGCGGGTGATGTCCTTTCCGCGAGAGCAGCGAGTGGCTGCGGCTCTCTGGCTGCTGTCTTCAGTCGTAGTTCATAATTTGTTGCGTAGTATCTGACAGCTCCGGATTAAGTTCAAGGCCATCTGTTGTGACTGCATTGTTAGTTGCAGTATCCTCGAGCCAGTGCCTCTGTAGTTTGGCGATACGGGTAACCGCGTAATCGACTGATGTAGGACGTCGCCCACACAGATAGCTTCACGAATATAACGCCATTTTTCAAGGTCACGAGCGTGGGCTTTTTCCTTGTTAGATGTCGGTAGCTTCGGCACGCTATGCACGAAACTAATTCTTTTGCTACTCTCAGTGTGGTGGTCGTTCGAATTAGTTTTGTCCCGCTGGTCTTTGTTTCATGGAACATGCAACAATATGCGTATCCCACTGTTTTCAGTCCGCAAGCGGTTTGCCGACAAAGCACCGTCTCGATGTCATCTGTTGATCCCAATGTTACGCGTATTAGCCAGGAGCATGCGGAGCCAGACTGCCGAGGTTTTACATACGCCGCGCTGGACTTCCTTTGTTACGTATAGGGTACTGCGAACTCTCACATTCAGGTGACGTTGAATGAGGAAGTTGTCTATCCATCCCAGAACGGGATCGCCGATTCCATAATTCTGATGCTGGTGTAGTGGAATGTGATGGTCCAGACGGTCGAATGTCTTTGAGAAATCCAGGTAGGCTGCATCTACTACTACTCCGATATCCACAGATTCCATCCAACATGCACGAGCTATCAACGGATTAATGGTACAGAAGCACTCTCGGGTGAATGCCGTCTGCAACAGGGGAAGTGTACTCGCGCAAGGACATCATCCGTTTTAGTACAGCTCTGGTTGTAAAGTATTTGTGGTTAGGACCTGATGGCGGCATAATCTGCGTAGGCAGGATGTAAGATGACTGTACACATTGGAAGGTACTGCCAAATTGTTGTCCAAGTACGCTGGCCGCCTCTTGTGCCGTTTGTGCTAACCCGCATGCTGTGTGCAGAGCAGAAATTCCGCGCTTAACCCGACGAAGTTTGTTGGCGTGTCTATATAGCAGCTTGGGGTTAGAGCAAAATGTTACCACAAGGTCTTTTTGGTCCTTTACTTTATCTTCCCGAACGAGTTAGACACAGTAGTTCCTATGTGTTGGATAGACATCCAGGTGCCCTCACTCGGAGTATCTATGTGGGTAAGTCATGCCGAGTCCCCCAATAACACGCATTTTCATGTTCTGCTCCTTAGGAATGATTTTATCTCTTTCGAGTGGCGGATTTCGCTTTCTGATGTGCTTATCACCGGATTGTTGAATCGACTGACAAATTCATACCAGGCTTCCCAAACAACCGTTTGGCTAAGAAAGACCAAGTTGTTGCACCAACGAGGTCGGACAGGTCATTATAGTTGGTCATGCTGTGAGATATCGCGGTACTTTCTTTTAGATATTATGCGTAGCACCTGTAGCGAAACACTAGTGTCGAGTGATTGCTGCGGCCCAAAGGTGTGCACATTGTTACTACATCGAGCATGAGTTCCTTGTTGGTACAAACGAAGTCCAAGTTGGCCGACTATCTTAGTGACCTAAAACGCGCGGAAGAAGTGACATGGTTGTACAACGATGAACCAGAGTGGCCCGAGTTTCTAGGCCATGTAGCTTGAATTTTTCTTCCAGTAGAACGTGGCTGTGAGATCGTGCCAGTTGGTTTTTCATAGTAGATACTAAAACCTGTTCCGTTTCTAAACTGGACATCGGTGGGCCGTATATACTGGCCATTAGGCATTTATGCCCCTGCCTTAGGTGTAGGCAACATTATAACGCGCCTTGTTTAAACTTCGGAGTCGTTTGTGCGCTCGATAAATAGGTCGGAGCGGTAGTAAAGAATTACAGCCGTTCTCTTAGTGGGTCGGTTGTTGTTCAAGAGTGATATACTAGGTAGTGCTACCTCGGCGTCGGGAATCATGTCGTTCATCCATTTCTTGGTTGCCACGATGTGCTCCCAACACACTGAGGCTTTGATGTGGTCGCAGCTTGGCCAAGTTACTGAGAAGACTTCGTACGTTTGTATACAAAGAATTGAGGGAAGCAGATACCAGAAGCGTTTCCCGTGAATTTACGCCGACCATTGTGGGGTCGACTGATAATCGTTTTTGGATGTAGTTCTTGCTTACCACTGGGTTATTTCGGGCTGTTGCATAGCGCATCACCCACCTAATGCTTCCAAAGCGAATTGTAGCTAATTGCCTGTTCAATCCCTTTCGGATAGCTGGGGAGTTGCATTGCGCTTCGGCTTGGAAATGCACACAGCAGTGGTCGCGACAAAAACTCGCTGGTTTTGTGTTACCTAAGCCAGTGGTGGCTTGGCTTCGGCCACCTTCAAACGTAACTCTGATGACAGTTTGGTGCATAAATTGTGCCAACTTCCGAGCACTATTTCAACTATTTCTTTGGAGTAGAGCAGTAATTTCAGCACCCTTGGACCACATTGTCGTGCACTTCCAACAGACCCAAATTTAACCCGACGTTTTGTGTTTCTGTGCATCTGTTCTACAGGCCTTGACGCAAGCCGTATTGTACTGGTTATTACAATTTGTGGAAGTCAACCTCCTTTTGCTACGTTAGCAAAAGGAGGTTGACTTCCACAAATCTACTTCATTTCGAGTTGCCAGTGTTTTGGCCGGAATGGTCCAATTACCGCTGCTTATTTTGCAGTAAATGGTCGCTTCGTCCTCGGCTAGTGCTTGGTCGCCCACTGTGAGGGCAAGGTCACATGACTGGCTCATCCTGATTTGTGTTTGATTATTGTTCCACACAGAGCAGATTACTGTAGAACAAATTCAAAATGGCAGACACGGCGTGCCACGGCGTGCGTGGTAGGGCCAAGCAATGAGATATCTGAAATTATCTAGAGAATATCCACTAAATTCGCAAAGCTTGAACAACACACCCATAGAAAAATATTGGTGCAGGATGCACACAGAGAAAACGTGTAACAAAGTAACCCCGAAGTAAAATTAGAATCCAGCTCGGCAATTCAATAATACACGGCGTCCGTGGGTACAGCCAAGTATGAGTTGGTTCAACAACCGCGTGAGTGCCAGTAGGCCTCGCTTAGGACCCCCGGCACACGTCAATACCTGATGTGTCCCATGCGCTTGCAAGCGCAGCTCGATGACCAATCTCACTTAGTGTGGGTATGTTGAACACCGGCGAAAAACAGGATAGTGTGGTTTGATAATGGTCTGTTTATGGCATGAGTCAAAATGGGGCCACTAGAATGAAGCGGCAAATAGTAGAAATCCAGTTGTACTGCAACTGTCGTAAATTCGGCTGTTGATTATAGGAAGAACATCGGAAACGGGGTAAGTAGAAGATTAAGGGAAACCGGTGGACAAGAAAAAAGGGCGACGTCAGCGGCAGCATGTTTCTACGTATCCGCTCCGCAGTGTGCTTCTTATAAGGAGATACCTTTGAAACTGCGTAACGGCTGGTGCAGGACGCCCCTTGAAGTTGATGATAAATTCATTTATTCATGGTCGTAGGTAAGGCAGGAAACTACTATGGTGCCCAGACACAGACAGAAGAACAATTAGAGTTCTCAACTAAAGCCTTCGGTTCGAAAGCCTGTCCACATGATAGCGAGGCATGGCAGCCAACCGTTTTTACTGAAATGGACCCCCAATCCATTTTAACCCAGACCTGGATGACCAGGAGACTGAGTTTAGCTGCATTCTAACCACTGACCAATTTTGCATGAATAGATCACAAGGAGTTCACACGTCTATCAAGCACAGCTCGATGGGTCGAAGGGATACGCAAAAGGTCTCATCTTGTTAATCTGCAATCTCGTCAAGACGGTAGGATGTTAACTAGTAGACGGAATGCGCTGTAGTTTATGTTTCATATGATAACATAGTACGGCGTAGTGGCACCGTAAACCGGCGACCACATCATCAGCAATGTGCCCCACTCATTGACACATGCAAGGAACACATATGACCTGGAGAGAATAGTGGCAGAGGACGAACCCGAATGCAAATAACAAACGAAAACGAACCAATCCAACGCGATTTACCCGATCAACAGTTCACCAAACTCTTTCTTGCTGAGCATGTTTTCAAACTGGTGGTCGTAGTGTTTATAGTTCTGAATGAGCAAGAATGGTATAGTACAAAATATACCAGCGTACATTGTGTGCGCATTAAGAACTGTCACAAAACACAGTTTGATTTACTCCAGCAAAAAAGGAGGGTACTGCTGTTTCCAGACAAACCTCAGGTGATGCTGGACACGAATTATTCGGAGGGATAAGCGAAGAGTAACAAATATAAGGGGTGTAAAGCAAAAATGAAGGCACCTGTGGTTATATGAGTCTATGATTCGCAAATATAGGAAAATGATTATCTAAAGCGTGCAGAATAAATGCGACCATAATCTTAGTGCAACAACTGACTGGTTATTAACTGAAGTTTATCCTGCTTAGTAACAATCTCTTTTATTTTTATTTTGAGTTACCAACTGAAGCAGCAGAAAATCGAGGAGACCCGTTACACTACGGTCTACAAGTAGCATGCGGCAAATATTTATTTCGAGCTGACCTTGTCGATGTGGTGCATTCGCGTCCTGACCGTGTACTCCACTAGCCGAAGCAAGGTTGCTTTGTCACGGATCCCGCCACCAACGTCGTTAGATTTGGATAAACAGTGTTGTTGGGATCTACACGGTCATGAAAAGGAGTGTGAAATGACAAGGGAACGCACCGGGTCTAAAATACAAACCAAAACTTACAAATAAATTGTCCTGTCAGGTTTAAATGCGACCGCCTAAGACCATGTTTACCTCCGAATGTATTACCAGAATGCGCACGACACACAGGTTGAACGAATGGAAGTGTCGAATTAAAGCAAGGGCGAAAACCGATCGGGAAGACAGAAAGGTGGAATCAGTGGCAAGTGAGATTTTTTAGCCGTATGAGACACTAGAACATAATGTGGCCCAAGGGAATCTGATGTTGATGGGTGGCATATCGGACTAACGATGATCGGCCGCCTATTTGCAGTTGTTCCTAAGACACGAAGTGGACGCCTCCATCCGTCTGACCAGGGTGTGCAACCGGCGTATCGGGAAAGTACGCAACGTCAAATAGCCCACTGTGTAAGGTAGCAACACTATGCCAAGTAGCAGCATGCAAGTAGGTACGAATCCCAAAAGACTCCAGGTGTAGGGTAACTGGGGGTCCGCTGAAAGTGACCGATTAGTCACATTTGGTTTACCTTGCTCACATTGTTTTAGCTAGTGACATTCAACATGTGCAAATCTTTGCTAACAACACGTGAGAGGTGGAAACAGCTCCCAAGACGATAACTGGTTTTGTACTGCGTGCTCGACAATCTTACTAGTCAAATGTATTCTTCTCCTAGTCCAAAAGCGCGAGCGGTTAGCAGGAGAAATTGAACAACGAACGAACGAAATGATTATATCACTGGAAGCGAGTATGCACCAGGATAACACAGTGGATTCAAAGAGAAGCATTGGTGCAAAATTCGCTCCGCTCGAACCCGGATTGACACGGTCCACTTTGCTGATATCATTTTGATTTTGGAAGAATGCCAAGCGAAAACAGACCGTAGCTCTAATGAAGAAGCGATTCGCAGGGTCCCGAAAATCTGGCATTACTCGAAACATGTGGTTGATCACATTCAGGCGGTCTTGACAAAAGTTATCATTAACAAGGATGGGACAGCCAAACCAGTGACTACTGCATCTGCAACCAAGGGTCTCTGGTCGAGTTCAAATCGCTCGAGACTCCAGTCACATTTGCAGAGGTCGCTGCAACAGTCCCTCGGGGTGCTACCTTTAGTGTCTCCTCTGTTGCAAACACCGCTAACGCCAATAGAGAAACAAACAGTGGACCATCATCACTTAGCATAAAGTCAGGCCCAACGATCACCCGACGTTACAGTTCAACAAAAAGGGCCCCAGTACTAACTACCTGACTGTCGTGTGCACCAATGTCCCCGAATCTACCGCCATCACATCGCACTGTAAGTTGTCTGATGGCCAAGACCAGTGCAACGCACTGTGTATTTTAATGAACGTAAAAGCCTAACCCACAAACCTGGTGAGCGTTACTCGTCACCCGGACTCTGCACACTATAACGAACCCCGAATCAGTATGGTAACCCTGGAATCAATATTTGATGTATAAAACATTTTGCCATCTGCAAGTGCAATACAATACTGGCCTTGTAAAGCATGCATCTATCCTGAGGTCCTTTGGAGCACACGACAATCTAAAAGAAACATCACAAATGGACATAGCAAGCTGGATTGTCTAAGCACCATCTTTATTTATGGCGTGCCAGAACTTCCTTCCCAAGAGAGTCAGGAGGCGGGTAACCACGAGTTGAAACATTGGCGGTTCATTCGTGAACCACTTTCCTTGGACTACGTTGTGGCGCAATAGCTCAAAAGACTACCACTCTCATCAAATTATAGAGAAAACGGAGCAAGGATCCTAAAACTCATGGTTCAGTCAGAGCAGACAGCAACGAAAGTGTTAGAACGTTGGTGGCGACATTGTCAAGGCCTTCCAGCTGAATTTCGGTTAGAAGCTGCTGAATCCTTGCGAAGACTAGACATGAGCCTACCGGAAAAAGCAATCCTCTCAGCGATTACGCAGGAGCATCGCTTTACCGCTCAGTCACGCGATTTTGCAGTATGTCTGGACGAGGAATGGGATGTACCTTGGTCAAGTCAGTTTGCGAACGACGTGTCATCATCATCTTATGAAACAAGCGAATGACGGCCGACCTCGCATCGGTCGCATTCTTTCACACTTAACTCCTTTGGCTCTTTGTGAGCTCCTAAAGACCGAGAAACAATCCTGCCTTTATACAAAGGCTCAAAGCCTTTTCAATAAGCTGGCTGAACAGAGATGGCCAAATTTCGAAGGCATGCGATTTTCTCTGTGTCACGGAGACATGGTTGCACACTGGGGTGACAGACGATGAAGTCTCGCTGCCGGGATTGTCACTACTACGAGACGATAGGTTTACGAAAGGAGGAATGGAAATTCTGTATTATGGAAGCGACCTACAGTGCGAGGCCGTTGAGGATTTAGAGTTACAGTTTGCCGATTCTCTTTGGTGCCGCCTGAAATTACATGGCAGTGCGACCTGCACCATAGCTTTGGTATACCGCCCCCCAAACTCTACACTAGGAATGGACTGCCAACTTGCGTCAATTTTAACATGCAGTCTAAGCGAAAGCACACTCACATCCTTAGCATGGGGTGGTGTCAACGTACACTGTTTATAAACTCCTGCTGCAATCGGAGAGCCACTCGAAGCAGATCTGCAATCGCTTATAACCAATGTTCCAGTTTACAGTTACGTCATTACGCTCACCCGTTTCAGAGAAGGTAATAGACCTTCTTTGCTGAATCCTGTACTCACCAACGAGAAACATTTGATGGATGTATTGATCGTAGAATGCCCTTTGGGTCGCAATGATCATACACTCATCAGTTTCGACTTTATCTGCTATGCGGAATATAGCAACCAGAACCCTGAGTTGGTGCGCACCATTAGGCGCTACGGCCGCTTAGCCTAGCTCGTCAGTGCCACAACCTGGTCGTTCCTCGCTGAAGGCCATCCGGAAGTCGCTTGACTTGAATTCGTCAGCAAATTCAATCAAATGGTTACGGAGGCCTCAGAGACAAGGGCTTTCAATGGGCCCAAAACCGTTCCTTTCGTGAGGAGCAGAGCTTGAAAACGGATGACTATACGTGGCGCAGCTTTGTCAGAGTACAGATTATCACCAATGACATATACTTGGGACAACTACGTAGCCCATCGTAATCACTGCACTCAGCCGCTCAGAGATGGTGAAGTCGCATATCAGCAGAATATGGCGAAAACTTTCAGCGCTAACCACAAACTGCCGTACAAGTCTGTCAATAGACATCGCAAGGTAAGGCATAGAATTCCTCCCCTCGGAACGACTGATGGTCCAATTAAAACAGCCATAAAGCACCTACCGCGTTGCGGGCGCAATATGCTGCCACATTTCAGAGGGTCTCATCATCAGGCCATCTTCCAATTTTTTTGTTTTTCCGCCTCCAGGTCTCACCCATCTCTTTTAGTGCCGACGCTGTTTTGCGGAGGCTGACGCCTCGGAGCAATCACAGCTCCCCGGGAGTCAACATCATTCGCCCAGAGGCACTGGGAGCAGCAGCAAGACAACTGGCATAAACTTTGGCACAGTTCTCCCAGTGCTACTTAGACAAGAATCAGATTCCTGCGATGTGGAAACTTGGTATAATAAATCCGATTCACAAAGGCGAAAGCAGAACTCAGACCTCAAACTACCGCCCAGTGTTCCTTCTCCTGTATTATCCAAGGTCCTGGAATCCATCGCTGCCGACGCCTTGGTGTGTTATCTAGAAAATGGCAACCTTATTGTTCCCGAGCAACACGGCTTTCGTCAACAGCGATCGTGCACAACGAATTTAGTCTTCACGCGGAGTAGTGGGGCCGAGTCAGCTGACGCCGAGAGGCCATTGATGCGATCAACTTGGATTTATAGAAGACATTCGATCGTTTAGGTCACAAGTTTCTCCTTTCCAAACTCCAAATTTGCGGGACCTGTAACCCTCACTTGAGTTGTGTCGCCAACTTTCTCCTGCAACGATAATTAGTGGTGAGTCCGGAGTTCTATATCTGAACTCATACCAGTCGAGTCTGGTGTGCCCCAGGGCTCAGTTCTAGGTCCACAGTTATTTTGGTATTCATCAATGACCATGCACGGAATATTGTTTCAACTTTCCGGTTGTTTGCTGATGATATAAATATATGGCGCCGGATTCAGGCGGATGCCGTTTAGAATTTACTTCAGTGTGATCTAGATAGGGTACATGATTGGTCAACCCAAAATGTGGTACAGCTCAACGTGGACAAATGCGGTACGCTCTATACGACATCAGAGTACCTATTCCTACAACCTTGAAACGCAAGCACTGCATCAATCATCCGTCGAACGCGACTTTGTCGTGCTTCTCCAGAATAACTTAGGTTGTTCCAAGCAATTCGCAAAGGCCTCGAAAACGTAACCAGCACGTCGGCTTACTAGGACGACCGTTCGGACAACTAGACGCCACTATTTTCCGACAGATGCTGCATGCGTATGTTCGTCCCCATGTCGAATACGCAATCCAAGCCTGGGAACCATGGCTGAAGCACGACCTTACTGCACTGGGCCAACCACAACTTCGGGCTTCTAAATACGTCATTGGAAGGCGCCAGCTCCCATACGAGTAGAGGCTGCAACGTTTGGTAGTATTCAGCGGGAGGTATCGGCGACTACGAGGCGAGTTGATTATGACGTACGATTTTACACAATCCAAATCACGTGTGCCGCTTTTTATTGCAACTTAGCAGTAACACCAAACTTAGAGGCCACTCCCTGAAAGTAGCAGAACACTACAGCCGTCTGGCGTGCCGTAGACACTTCTTTTCCATTCGTGTGTCAAGCATGGAACGCCCTCCCCGAATCTGTTGTTTCAGCACCCATGCTAGCCATATTTACAAGTCGGTTGGATGACGCACTTGGACAAGTACATTTTGTTACTTGACGCTACACTCTATCCCACTCCAGAGAAATACCTTGGATTTATATTTTTCGTTTAGTGAAGCTATGGAAACACTCGGAGTGCA